TCTACCGAATGTATACAGGATGCGGGCGGGCGGGCGCTGAAGCTACTACTCGCTGTCTCTAGCTGCTAGTGGGTTCTGAGGGAGAGAGGCGCGACACGCGTCGGAGTTTCAAAGTTCCTCCCTCGAGCCCAAGACGGCGCACCGAGCTTCGCTCGGTGCTCGCTTCTTGGGTCGTCGTCCGGTTCAAAGCCGTTCTGAGAGCAGTCGACGTTCTCCTGTGGTGTGGGTGAAAGGCGATCGGCCCCGAGAGGCCGATAACCTTGGGCGCAATCCGAGGGCGAGCCCGGAGGCTCGCCCAAACCGCCCACCAGCCGCGGACGAGGCCGAGGATGAGCCCACCCCCGGCGGAACAAATGCCACTGGGCTTAGCTGCGCTTGAAGGGCTGGATGCGGTGTAAGTGTCGGGGGAGAATGTCCTCCACGGACCTCCAATACCGCAGGAACGCATCTGATGACCACCGGCCCGCCGTTTTGACGACGTGCGGCGGGACGCCGGCCAGTAGGAGCTCTGTCGTCCCCCCGATCCGGAAGCAGTGGCCGGTGATGCGCGGGTAACGGTTCCGCGACCAGACCGAGTTGCAGCGCGCCAGGAAGGCCGTCTTCGTGAGTAGTTTCTGGCCTTGCGGGTGCGCGTATGCGAACAGCGAGGTGTCTTTCGGGAGGCGACTTGTTTGAAGGTGGTACTGCAGCGCGTAGACCGGATCTGTGGATCCGCGTTGATGGTGGAGGAAGACCACCTCCCCTCGGCTGTAACACGTCTTGGTCGACGGTAGCGATAGCGTGTACGTCCACGAGAGGGGGGCGGGGTTGCGGAAATCCGCTCGCCTCGGTATTCGGGTCGGGTTCGCGTTTTGGGATGCGGGGAGTACTTCCCCGGCTCGGAGTTGCCCCCAGAGCATCGTGCAGGCGGCGGCGTAGACGGCCGAATCGAATGTGGAGTTGAAGTCGAGTGCCCTGTGGAGGCAGCGTAGCATGTCGCGGGTCACTGGGGCGCGTGCGGGTTTGCGTGAGTGTTTCGGTCTGAGATTTTCGACGCCCTTCACTGCGTACTGGAGGCGTGTTCCTCCGAGCCATGGGGCATTCTGGGCTATATGCCACGCCTTCAGCGCCGCAACCCAGTTCCGAGCGGTGCTCCCAGCGACCTGGCCGGAGCCGGTGGCTACGAATGCGCATAGTACTACTTCCTGCGCTGGGAACCGGTCAACTACGGGGATGCGTTCCGCAATGCAAAACTGGGTGAACTTCTCAACTACCGTGCCATAGCCTTTCAGGGTGTTTGGCGCCCATCCGGCTCGTATAGTCTTCTCCAGTTGTTTCTGGGTGCCCTTCGACAAGGTGATTTTGCGGGGGTTGTGGAGAAGCGCCGCCGCTGTTGAGCCTGCGCCCGGGTTGAAGAATGGCCGCGCCGGCTTGCGTCGGTTGGCCTTCACTGTCGGGGAGGTGTGGGCTGCCCAAGGCCTTTCCGCTGTGATGTTGGCTGGAGTTCTGGTGGTGCGTGTGTGTGGCATGTACGGTGCGAGAGCGAGCGAGCTTGTCTGCTTTGGCCAGCCTGGGCGTGGCGGAGCCTGGGAACCGGACATCTGCCGACGCGGCACGGGTCTATTGCGACAACTCCGACTACGCCGCCCTAAGGTAACGGAATACAGCGATATATGCAGACTTCACACGGCTCCACAGGGATTTTTTGGGCTGAGGGGATGGGTGAGGTGCTTTGGTGTCTTGGATGAAGCGCCCGCACACGCAGTCGCCCGCGACCACTCCAGGGCTGTCGCCCCCAAACCAGTGGGTGCAAGTGCCCCCGCCCTTGGCATATCCCTCCACCAGTGTCTGGACGCTCTGTGAGGAAGTATATGCTGTCCGTCGTGAGTCTCTGAGCCCGCACCTGGGGAGTGAGGTACCTTTGTACTGAGCTGCTCCAGACCCATCTTCATAGGCAATCGAGCGCTCAAACTCGATTTTTACAATCATTTCTTGCTCTTCCGACCTCCTGAGCGAACACATCTCCTCGACAACCCGGGTTGCCTGGGATGATGGGTTAGCAACCACTTGGAGAGGTGTGTGCGTGAGGGGAACGTTGACGCACTTGTGCGGG